GTGATATCTTGCCACTCTTACACATCAGTTTTCCACTCCCAACATTGGTGTATGGATTTAAAAAAAAAAAAAAGTGGCCGAAGATCAGTGTAGGATTGGAGAAGGCACACTGAGTGAGGTCTACAGCAATAGCTATCCTGCCAAGACAAAGGTGGTGGCAACGAAACTGGGAGAGGAGACGCAGGCTGCCAGCACAAAGCACTGCTTGGAAGCAGGTAGTCACATTTTGCCTATTGTTAGAACCCAAAAGATATGCTGTCATTATCCTGTTGCTAATTTTGTGAACCTGAATAAATATCCCATATCTCTTTTAGAAAAAATAAGGGTGGTTTTTGCTTTTGTTTTTCCCAGGAGTTAAAAAAAAAAAATGCTGGAATCCAGGGTTCTCTGGAAAGGGGGAAGGAAAAGAAGGGAGGGCCATGTCATCTCTCTATCTTCATCATTCACTCAACAATAGGTATCAGTGGTCTCATATCGTAACACTCTACAGTAAAATTGCTGCTGGGATTAGAAAAGATACAGAATCTATGTGAAAGGACCTGGACAAGATGAACACAAATAATTATATTCCATATACAAGGCGTTAAGTGAAAAAGAGGGAAGTGTTGTCAAAACTGAGAGAAGGGGGCTATTCCTTTTTAGATAAGAGAATTTGAAAAAGAGAAACAATTGATTTGAGTTTGGAAGGAATGGTACACTTCAGATATGTGCATACACTGAGTGTTAGGATAATAGACCACTCATAACTACTGTTGAATGAATGATGAAGATGTAAATTCTGAAACTGGAAGGCATATAGTGTATGGGGCATACTGTCCTGGAGGGAAAAGAAATAGTGAGTGGAGGAGTGGACATCTGTAAGAAGTGTATTCACTGAGACTGAAGACATATCTGTGAAACCAAGCAAGGGAAGATGAAAACTGAAGACACTGCAGAGGTGGAATTGATAAAACTAAGCAAAGGCATAGGGTGAGAAGGAGAATGGAGGACAACCAAGCCCTAAGCAAGTGGGGTTTGAAATAGTGTGATATGATTTAGGCGCTAGAGGGATTACACTTGTAACTTAGGATAATGATGACTTTCTCTCATGTAGCATTCTCTCTCATCTTTGAATTCTTCAAATACATATTGCTCGTTGTGATTGTATTACACTTCATTGTTTATTGCTTGGAACTGTTCTTTCATTTTCCCTAAAATATTATTCTTTATCCCAACCATATTGGAAACTTATACAGGATTGGTGACCACATATCACCTCTTTGCAACTATACAGAGAAGACCTTAAAAGGTACTAAGCAAATATCAGGAAGTAAATAAATACTTATATAATATTTACTGGTAGATAAAAATCTAATGGCATCCACTAAGTCATTCCAGCAGTCTCTCATCTAAATGTTACAAAAACGAGTGATAGCTTTTGCCAGGGTTCCTCAACCCTGGTTTTATTGACATCTTGAGCTAAGTAATCTTTATTGTGGGGGTGGGTTTTTTACAGTATCCCTGATCTAACTAGATGCCGGTAGTGTCCCCCTCCCCCAAGCTGTGAGAACAAAAATGTCTCGAGACATTGCAAATGCCCTCTGAAGGTAGGATGACGAACTGGCCCAATTTGTCTGGGGATGAGGGAGTTCTTGGAACACAGGGCTTTGAAGTTTAAAAATGGGAAAGTTCTGGGAAAACCAGGATGCGTTGGCCACCCTACATGGTGGACAAAATTGCCCCTGGTTGAGAATCATTGGTCTATGGGGACAGGGAGCCATCAATGTACAGTTAATTTTAAAAAGTCCTAAGTGCTACTATGAAAGCATACCTTTAGAATTCTTGGAACCCAAAGAGCAAATACTCATTTCCATTGAAGTGGAAGGGATTGGGGAAGACTTTGTGAAAAAAAAAAAGGGGGGGGGAGGCATTTCAGGCAGTGCTTAAAAGCTTGAGGAGGTTTTAACAGGGGAAGACAAACAATCCAATTGGAAGAAGCAGTGCAAGCAAATGGGTGGGAAGGTTAGACATGTCTCTGGATGGTTGAACACGAGTGTGGTGAGTGTGAGCAAGGGGCAGGAAGGTGAAATCTAAAATAAGATTACAGGGCCGGCCGAGTGGCGCGATGGTTAAGAACTCGCTTGGGATGCCAGAGGGCCCCGGTTCGGATCCCACATATGAGGGCCAGTGACACTGCCCTCTACAGCTAAGATGCTGAACAACAGCTCAACCTGGAGCTGGGCTGCCATGAGTCGCCGGCGACGGCGTAGGCTGCATATCCTGTGGCAGTGGGTTGCCATGGGTTACCGTATGTAGCCAGCAGCCAGCGTGAGCGGCCAGCAGCTGCAGTGAGCGGCCGTCCAGAAGCCGGGACTGATCTGCCTCACCTGGGAAGAGCGCAATGATGGTGCCAGCTTGGGCCAGTGAAGCAACGTCCTCCACAACTAGACTGAAGAACAAAAGGACAGCAACTTGTCTGTTCTCCTTCCCCAATTCCCCAGCACTGTTCCCATTCCCCCAATTCCCCCAATAAAAAAATCTTAAAAAAAATAAAAAAATAAAAATAAATAAAATAAAATAAGATTACAAAGATAGAATGGAGTCAGGTCTTGGAGGGCTCTGAGTCTTAACCCACAAGAGAAGCTGACAATAAATAGCACAAACAGTATACCAGGAATAGCCTTCATCCTCTACTGATATTAACTCACTTAATCGTACAACAACCCTAAGTGTGGGCAATATAATGTCAACTTAATGATGAGGAAACTGAAGTGCACAGAGAGGATAGGTGACTTTCTAGAGGCCACAAGGTAAGTCAATAGGAGAGTCAGGATTAAACACAGTCGGCCTGACTCCTGGGTTTCTTGTCCTTAATTGTCACATTCCCCTGCCTCTCCAACTGACAATGGGAATTCATTAAATCTTCTGAGTAGCAGAGCGACAAGAGCAGATATGAATTTTTAAAGCTGGCTCAGATGGTTCTATAATGTCAAAAACTCTGGTCGGTAACAGTAAAATACGAAAGATATATGCTTTACCCCCATCTTCCCCCATTGCACTCTCTACTACCCACCCTGATTGCATCCATACAATTTTTGATAAAAGCCATAATAGGGTGAATTTACAGCCTGAATCTACTGGGCAGTGGGAATAATTCCATCAGCTAAACAATTTGTGTACTATGGTAATGCTTAGTGAATGCAAAGTGCTTATGGGGCGGGGGAGGGGAGGGGAGAGAGAGAGGGAGAGAGAGAGAGAGAGAGAGAGAGAGAGAGAGAGAGAGAGAGAGAGAGAGAATCACTTTATCAGCAAATGCCAAAAATTTAAAATCACAGAGGGACAAGGGAGACTAAAGTGCCATAGAAATAATGAAATAAAAGCAAATTTATTTAAAGTTAGCAATAATTAGGTGTTTTGTAGCTGGTAATAATTTCCTAAGGAAAGCAGGAGATGGCTCATTACTTGCCTTGGAAACTGCTCTTTAGATTTGGACAAATCGTAGAAGAAAAGGAAACAAATTTCCTGTGATCCCCAGGGGAGGATTCAGATAACACATCTTTCTAGTTTTAAGCTGGATGTCCTAATAAAATGGCCTTTTTGGTACTCCCATGTCTTCAATCTAAACTCTTCCACAAGAGGCCTGTCCCTTGTCTCATTCCTGATAATTTATTAATAAGCCGCCACATAAAAAAATGTTCCTTAATAAAACACCCAGGCATTGTGGACTGCTTAATATAGTTAATTTGAACAGGGCAACTGAGATCCATGTAGATGGCCATATTAGATTAGGGGAGAGATTAGCATCACTCCTGCCATTCCCTGAAGAATGCAGTTGAGTAGGCTGTTCTTCATTCACTGAGCAGAGTTCAGATGACCGTTTGCAAAGGCGTGCCCTGAATTTGCATGCAATAGTAGGGACAAGAAGCTTCTAGAAACCAAAGTTAAAGTGGTATCAGATGGAATCTAGAAACAATTCCTGTCCCCTTCTCTCTGTCTCCGTTCTCACCCCCACCTGCCCCAAATCCCCTACCATCTTTTGGTGCAGGCCCAGGAGTTGGATTATTGCTGGCTAATTTGTTGGGAAAATTTTTAGAAAATGAACTTTGTTTCTTCCATGGGAAAAAGAAAAACCAGCCAAACAAGCTGATACATGCGTGTGCAACATTGGATGACTATTGTTTGGGTAAGCATTCACTCGGAACTATTAAGATTCCTATTCCTTTTCAAGCACAAAATATGATGATAATTGGCTATTACTTAGAAAAATAAGAACATTCTTCCCTTTAGAGCATGTTTTAAAATATTTCAGATCCATGGAAATTATATGACTATTTTTCTTACACCATATCCATACCTGGCAAATCCATCTTGTGTTCTGCCCACTACCTTTCTATTTTCTGTGTCCTTAGAAGGACAAGGGCAAAACATTGATCTGAAGCAAATGCCAATCTTTTTTCTCTCCTTGGCACCAATACTACTGGTGATTTAGCAATATAACAAGCAAAATCATCTGGCATAACGCACAACGCGAGCAAATAATATTACACATTTCGCTAAAAGAACGACTAAATAACAAAGCAGAGCTTAACCAAGCTGACTCATTTCTTAAGGGTTCTATATTCATAATCTAATTTGGTATTTGGCAGCTATACTCTCTTCTTTCCCAAATTCTGTAATGTTGCCAAACTGGCAGCTTTGCAATAGCTAAGGGAAAGATTATATGCCTATATTCTGGTTTTCGCTTGCTCTGTGTAACAAATTCACGCGTTAAACCAATAACCTTCTACTAAGTAAGAAAATATAAATACCAACTTGAATAATTGGTTAATAGATTAGGAGACAGCTAGGCTTGAGTATTCCTATGCTGGGGTATAATTTCCTTGAGAAGATGTTAACAAAGACTACAAGAAATGATTATAAACTAAACTGATGCAGAAACTGGCAGCCAGGGGGAGAGGGAGGCTACAGTTCACTCACACTGGGTCTCTCTGGTGGGGGTCATCCTCAGTGTCCAAGCTTACCTTCTCCTATTATGGGATCTTCTTTTTTGGTCTCTACTTGTGATCCTTGGTGCTTGGATGAAAGCTGGATATGATTCTTTTGATCATTAGTCTGGGATTCAGAAATATCTTCACTTTTTATTTCTAGATTAATGAGAAAAAGAAGTGAGTGTTTCTTGTTTGTTTTGGAGTAAAATGACATTTTATTTGGAAATGGGCCTAAGTATTAAGATATTTTCTTTGTATTCTCCCACAAAATGATTGTGAGATACATGCAACAGAATGCGTATATTATACCCAGAGTTTAAAGAATAGTGAAACAAAATCCCATATACTGACCACCAACTTTTAGGTAAAAAACTTTACTGTCCAATGTGGTAGCCACCATAAGTGGCTATTGAACATGTGAAATGTGGCTAGTTTGAGTTGAGATGTGCTGTAAGTGTAGCATATATGCCTAATTTTGAAAAAAATGTAAAATACAGTATATATTTATGTCTATTGAATGTTGAAATAAATTTTGATATATTAGTTTAAGTGGCTCCTAGAAAAATTATATTACGTGCCTCACATTTGTGGCTCATGTTATATCTTTATTGGACAGAGCTGGTATAAAATGTTACTAATACATTTTTTAATCTTTTATTTTGAAGTAATTATAGATTCATAGGAAGTTGCAAAGAAATATACGAGAACCCATGTAAATCCACCCAGCCTCCTTCATTATTAGCAACTTGTGTAATTATACTGTAATATTAAAACCAGAAATTGACATTGGTATAATCCATAGAACTCATGTAGATGTGTACTTTTGATTGAAGACTTTATATTTTCAGTCTACTTCTGGCTGAAGAGATGCTTCATCTTCTATTCATTTATTTGTTAAGTATATTAACAAATAATATATTTACTTTGCTCATGCCAGACACTGTTCTAGGCAATGGAAAGACATGATGAGTAAGAAAGACCTGATCCCTGTCCTTGAAGAGCTTTTATTCTAGATTGGATGACAGAGGATAAACAAATAAATTTATAACATAATGTCAGATAATGCCGTGTCATGGCATATGACAATTTCTAGAGGAAAAACACTTCTGTGATTGAGCTCTGAGCTTTTTCATAGAATGCCATTTTTACATTGAAAGAACTTGAAGGAATGATTGAGAGACAAATTATGGTTATTCATACTTTGGTTTTTGGTGTGTATATATATATATATGTATGTATATATATATATATAAAACAAATCAGCCTGTAACTTCAAAGAAACAATGGACAGTATTTGTTGGGAGTGATCAAGTTCAAGTTATAATGGGAAATTTAGAATTTTAGAAAACTTGTATCATCTATAATCTTCAGATATCTAACTCTTAAATGTCCATATGGATATTAACAAATCTGATTTAAAAATCATAGAATATAATATGTCAGCATTTGAAAGATCTTCATAACTCAGTGAAACTATATTTTCCAGATGGCCAAAACATAATGTTTCAAAATCACACATGGGTAAAAGTGCCACTGAAGTACAAGGTGGACTAGTTGATTTTCATGTAACAGAGTATAAAAAGTACATTGAGATGTACCTTTAAGTAACTACCTTTTGGCCAGTTTGGGTACAGTATCTAAGAAGAATACCCATAACTATCTATAAAGGTTATTAAAATACTCTTCTCCTTTCTACTATGTATCTGCACGAGGCTGGATTTTCTTCATAAACTTTAGCCAAAACAATACATTGCAACAAATAGAATGCAGAAGTTGCCTAAAGAATCCAGCTGACTTTTCTTAAGGCAGACATTAAAGAAGTTTATAAAAATGCCATTCTTTTTACTGTACATTTTTTTGAAACGTAGTTTTTAAAATAAAAAAATACATTATGTTAACATATAATGCATGTATTATTGTTAGTTTAAAATAAATTAATAAGCAAATTTTACATTTTGTCTTTTAACCTCTAATTTGGAATTACTGGCGGATAGAACACACATTGACAAAAGTTCTTTGGAGTTTTCAATAATTATGTAAAGTTTAACAAGGCCTCAAGATCAAAATTTTATAAACTGCTGACACAGACCATTTAGCTGAGTCAAAGAATCATGTTCTCTGAGGATGAGATGAAACAATATAATTTTCTGATTCTAAAGTAATGAAATGCTAATTTTAGAAATTTGAAAAGTACAGAAAAATAGAAGGAAGGATATTCAAATTACTCATACCGAGTTGATTACTGAACACTATTTTTTTTTTCATAAAGTTCCTCCTAATCGCTACATTTTTTTTAAGAAAGTTAAGAGTCTGTCCTGACATGAAACTATGGGAATTTAATAAAAGGAAATGTGTGTCCACAGATGTTCAAATGTTGAAAGAGCAAAAAGAGCCACTGAAGTAACTGATATGTTAGTGACTGCAGGGAAAAGCTTCTTCTATTGCTGGGGAACAAGAGAGATGGGGTGAGCAGAGGTGAGTGAGAGGTCCCTCCATGGCTGATAGGTTTAGCTATAACATGGAGGATGAGAATTAAATCACCACATCATATAATCACCTGAGATTAAAAATTACAAAAGGTCTGGGCCAGCCGAGTGGCGCGATGGTTAAGAACTGGCTTGGGATGCCAGAGGGCCCCAGTCTGGAACCCACATATGAGGGCCAGTGACACTGCCCTCCACAGCTAAGATGCTGAACAACAGCTCAACCTGGAGCTGGGCTGCCCGTGAGTCGCCGACGACGGCATAGGCTGCAGCCCCTGTGGCAGTGGGTTGCCATGGGCTACCGTGTGTAGCCAGCAGTCAGCGTGAGCGGCCAGCAGCCGCAGTGAGTGGCTGTCCAGAAGCCAGCGACTGATCTGCCTCACCCGGGAAGAGCATAACGATGGTGCCAACTTGGGCCAGTGAAGCAACGTCCTCCACAACTAGACTGAAGAACAAAAGGACAGCAACTTGTCTGTTCCCCTTCCCCAATTCCCCAACGCTGTTCCCATCCCCCCAATTCCCCAATAAAAAATCTTAAAAAAAAAAAATTACAAAAGGTCTTTGCTTTCAAACCAGAAAGCACCACACACACACACACACACACACACACACACACACACACACACACACACACACAGAGAGAACTTTAGATTTAAAAAGAAAGACCAAAACCTTGGCATCAACAAATCACAAGCAAAATCCCAGGGTGAGATCTTGCTCTTCTTGAGGAGGACAGGGCTCCTTAAGCTTCCTTGTAGTTTGTCCAGCCCGATCATGACAGGGAGAGAGGTAGGGATACTAGGCTGAAGCTTGGTTCAAAGTAGAGTGCATCCTATGTATTCCTCAAAAATCCAAACACGGTGATTCTTCTAGGAGTGGCCCCAGGCTTCTTCCTTTTTTTATTTTGACTCTCTTTCTCTGCCTCTCCTCATTTTGCCTTTTATATACTCACTCCTGTTTATTACTTTGGTTTCCCAATATCTCCCAGCATCATAAGTGTTTCATCCACTCATTTACTGGGAAGTGTGGTGTGGCTGGAGTAAGGGATTTGCCGGTGTCTGATCGGCTTCTCTCCCTCCCACACTCTAAGAATGGAGTAGAAAGACAGGAAGAAGCCCCTTTTACAGAACTTCTTTCCCTCAGTGATTCTCCGTGTCTCCAGCCACCAAAAGAATTCTGGGAAAATGTCTAAGAACATAATTTCTGTGCAGCTCGAGGGAAAAAAAAACCCAAAAAACAAAACAAAACAAAAAAACAAACAAAAAATCACCAAGCACTCTCTTCCCTCTTCTGAAAAAGAAGACATTACCCCTAATTCTTGAACTCAGGTTTCGGAGGGTTACCTGGGCTGTGGAGCACGCAGTTTTAGAGAGTGAATTCTGGAGACAAACTGCCTGGCTTCTTCCTGATTGGTTGACCTTGGCCAAGTTACTAAGCCTTTCTGTGCCCCATGCCATGCTCTACCTCCATAGCACAGACACAGTATCTAGTACCTACTTCATAGGGTGTTGTGAAGATTAAATTCATGTGTCGAAAGTACTTAGAATCTGGTCCATAGTGAGTATTCAATACATATGAGCTTTTATTATTGTTGTTGTTATTTAAATTAGGCAAACCTTGTCTCTACTATATAAATTGAACAAGTTAGCTCCATGTGGTTAAATATATTGCAAAAGTTCATAAAATGTCTCTTTGGGGGAAAAGAAAAAAACGTTAACATATTATACATGATCACATTTTTTCTCCAATATTTTCATTCTTAAAAAATTATACATACTTCTGCTTTTGTTTTTCTTAAACCAACAGCACACCAGACAGCACAGAGCCAGCCATGAGGCCACTGAGGAGAGGGAAGCAGCCAGGATTATGGTTGACTTCTCTGACCTAGTCACAGGGAAGACAGCAAATGGCCTGGATCGAGCTGTAAAATTGGCTCCTGTTTAAAAAAAAAAAAATTTTAATAATAACATATTAACAGGATGCTAATATAATAATATAATATTGTGGAAAATATATGCTCACAACAGTATTGGCATTTAGTAGATCTGATAAATATTTACTGAATGATTAAATAAATGAACCAATAATAAATAAAAAATTTGTATTTCTGAAGAAGTACAAAAATACAACTCCAACAATAACATATATATTTTCTTTCCAGTTCTGTCCTATACCGATCAGGGAATTCTTCCAATTTTCCTCTTTTATTCTCAGACTTATGCGAACCTTCTCCACCAATGCAAAATTTCAGTATCACTCTTATGTTCCACTGATTAGAACAGAAGTGCTCTCAGCTCCAGAATGTATAAAACTACTTGCTCTGACAAATGTATCCAAATTAAAATATGGTACGTAACATCAAAACAAGGGAACAGGGATGCCTACTAGCAAGCCAAGAGTATTTTTAATGTCAATGCAAATTTTGTTATTTAAAAAACTGGGAGTAGAGCAGTGGTAGATAGATGGAGCCATTTGGCTATGGGACAAAATGGGTGACTTTATTTACAGAGTGTATCTTTCTAAGAATTCATCTCAAACCCCTCCACTTTTAACAGACTGATAATTTGGGTTCTCACCCATTATTATTTTTGAAACAAGGCATACAAGAATCTAAAAAACATCCTTTGCTTATACACACAGAAATCTGCACACAAATATTTATAGCATGTATGTTCATCATCATCCAAATTCAGGAACAACCTAAATGTTCTTCAACAGAAGAATGAATAAGCCAACTGTGGCTTACCCAGACTCAGCCAAAAAGAGAAAAAAAAGAAGAAGAAGAAATGAAGGAAGGAAAAGAAAGAAAGGAATGAAGGAAGGGAAGAAGGGAAGGAGGGAGGGAGGAAGGAAGGAAGGAAGGAAAAGGAAGGAAAAAGGAGAAAGAAAAGGAAGGAAGGAAAAGAGAGAGAGAAACAAACCATTAACAACGTATAACACCTGAGATGAACATCAAAGCCATGCTGAGTGAGAGAAGCCCATCATCTCTGAAGGGTACATACTGTATGATTCCATTTATATGACAGTCTAGAAAAGACAAAGCTATAGCAATGGGGACCAGAACAGCCATTGCCAGGGATTAGTAGTATTGCGAGGGCAGGAGGTGAGGACAGAGGAAAGCATGAGGAAGACTTTTTTGGGGGAAATGTTCTGCATCCTGATTGTGGTCATGGTGACATGAATCTATTCATGTATTTGAATTAATGAGAAGACATGCTAAAGAAAGATACATTTCATTGTATATTATTTTTTAAAATAAGAAAAATATAAATTTGCCTTTAATTTGGAAGATGATAGATTTGTTCATTATCTTAATTGTGGAGATGTTTTCATGCGAATATATGTTCATCAAAATTTATCAAATGTCATGCTTTTAGTATGTGTAGTTTATCATGTCAATAATACCTCAATATAAAAATAAAAAGTTAAAAAAAGCTTGCCTATTAACATGAATTGGTTATAGCCAGTGTTTTTAAAGCAGCTTATTCAAAACAAACAAACCAAACCTAAACCTCTGCTTTCATCTGAATCACTCAGGCAAAAATTTTGATTTTCGCTACTCAAGGAAACACCATGTTTTTCTTTGCTGTGCTTTTCTGAGGTTGAGCCTGACAACTTGAAAGTTACAGTCAAATCTTTGGTCTCTGGACTCCTGGCTGACTCAGTCCCAAAGCTGCCATAACAAAATTAGCTAGAAATGGTTCTCTTGTGTGTACATCTTATACTCGAGACTAACGGCTTGTTTCTTATCAATTAGTTGCTTTTTATGGGCATCTCAAAAAATAAATCTAGCCCGGTTATGGGGGAATGGATTTTATTAGGGATTTGCAGAAGCAAAAACAAAATTCCTCATTCTTTTATCCATATTCCAAAGATTGCTCAGTGATTGTTTACTTTGCTAAGTGGTTAAGTTATTGTTCTCATTCTTAAGATATTTACAAGCTAGTAAATAAAATGAGATACATACACATTTGTAATACAAATCAGAATGTGACACATGCCACCAGAATAATGCAAATCAATTGTTTGGGAAGGATATTTTCCATTGATGTGATCAGAAAAAGCTTACCAGAGGAGAAAGTATCTAAATGGGGCTTTGAAGACTGAGCAAATAAAGACAGAAAGGAGAAAAGATTAATGGATGTTTAAGAAACAAACCCTGGGAAATACTGGAGATTAATCCTGGAAAGCATTTGAGACAAATTTTGATGGACATTAAATGTTCATCAAAAGGCCCATGACTATAGCCTGAAGGCAATAAAGTGTTGCAGAAGGGATGATTGTGAAGGCTCAGAGTCAGGGAGACCTGTTTATAAGCCTATAGCAGTAACCTGGGTTTAAGAGCGGAGCCCACCAGCTTTCAAATATTTTTAGCAGCAGAACATTTGTTAACAATGCACTCTTAGATATAATCTCAATATACTTACTTATTCATAAACAAATATTTATTTGACCTATGATACGCCATGGTTTTCTATACTTGAGAATATAATGCTGAACTCAGCAGAATTCCGGTGTCTTTGGGAACTTAGGTTCCAATGGGGCACAAATTACACAGGCAGTAGACAAACAAGCAAATGCAGGGAGACTCTGATTCCAAGTGGTGGTAAGTGCATTGAAGAGGACTAAAGTGAGGCTGGAAGAAAGAGAATGACGGGAGGTGGGAGCAGGGTTGTAGCCTAAGTGATACAGAAAAGGCCTCTCTGAGGAGGTGACATTTGGGAAGAAGCCTGAGTGAAGTGATGAGTGAGTGAGCCATGTGAATTTCTGGAGGAAGAGTGATTCAGGCATGGACCTGACAATTACAATAAAGTTTCTCTAGATTAGATGGCGGGGAGCAGCCTTGGTTCCCTCACTCTCTTCCCAGCCCAGAAACCCCTGAGAGCCCCCTAGGAACTCTGTGGCTCCAAGAAATAGTTAGAAAAAACACAGCCTAGTATAGACGCTGGTAATGATAGTGAATGTGGAAAGGCTGGGTGGAAATTCAGCATTATAAATTTACGGAAACCCTTCTCTCTTGGCAGTGTCTTAGAAAGTTTAGAAATGAACAACTGAGCTGGATTAGTCAACATATTAGAAAGACTTATGAGGATTCCCTACACACTTACCCAGAACCATTTAACTTCTCAGTTACTCAGTATCTGTATTTCTAAAACAGGAATAATGATTTGTTCTTTTATTTGTCTCTCTATAACAGAGAGGAGGAAAAATAATAAAAAAATTATTGCAAGTTTTCCACTTGATTCATAGATAAATGAAAACATAACAACAACATAAATCAATGCTTGTCACATCTATAACTTTGGAGCTTGTTGGAAATAAGAAATTTCATTGATTGCCTATCAATGTGGGAATGAGAGCTGCTTTCCCAAATGATTCTAGCACTAGAAATTGATATAGTTGAAAACAAGGAGTTACTTTCAGTATATGTACTGCTAATCAACATGATGTCAAATTAAAACTACAATAGATATTACCTCCCCTGTGTCAGAATAGCTATCATCAATAAAACAATAAACACCAAGTGCTGGCGAGGATGTGGAGAAAAGGGAACCCTTGTACACTGCTGGTGGGATTGTAAATTAATGCAGCCATTATTATAGAAAACAGTATGAAAATTCCTCCAAAAATTAAAACTGCCATGCAATCCAGCAATTCTACTTCTGGGTATTTATCTGAAGAAAACAAAAACACTAATTGAAAAAGATATATATCTGTGTCCACTGATGTGGAAGCTTCCTAGATGACCATCAATAAATGAATGGGTAAAGAAAATGTAATGTGTGTGTGTGTGTGTGTGTACATATATATATTTCATATGAATATTATATATAATTATACACATATAATGGAATATTATTCAGCAATAAAAATAACGAAATCTTGTCATTTGTGACAATATGGATAGACCTAGAAGATATTATTCTAAGTGAAATAAATCAGACAGAGAAAGACAAATACCATAATTTCATTTATATGTGGAATATAAAAAATAAAAGCAAATTAATAAACAAAACAAAACAGAAATATCCATAGATATAGAGAACAAGCTGATGGATGCCTAAGTGGGGGCATAGGAACGCAAAATTTAAACAAAACATGATGTCAAGAAGGGTCACAAAAGTGCAGGCCTTTTAATCCTTTCTTTTATCCTTCATCTATTCTTTTCTTTCTCTTTTTTTTTTTTTTAAAGATTTTATTGGGGAATTGGGGGAAGGGAACAGTGCTGGGGAATCAGGGAAGAGGAACAGACAAGTTGCTGTCCTTTTGTTCTTCAGTCTAGTTGTGGAGGACGTTGCTTTACTGGCACATGTTGGTATTATCATTGCACTCTTCCTGGGTGAGGCAGATTGGTTGCTGGCCATTGGACGGCCACTCATGGTAGCTTACGGCAACTTGCTGCAGCCTATGCTGTCGCCATCCACTCACAGGAGCCCAGATCCAGGTCGAGCTGTTGTTCACCATCTTAGCTGTAGAGGACGCAGCATCACTGGCCCTCATGTGGGATCTGAACTGGGGCCCTGCTGCTCAGAGCGGCCATCCCAAGCCAACTCTTAACCAAGTGAGCCACTCGCCCAGTCCTTCATCTATTCTCTTCTAATTGAAACTTTTGTAATCTCATTCTGACATAGCCTCACCTTCCAGGCTTGATCTTGAAAGTTATGAAGAATAACTTAAGGAAAAAATGATAGAGAAAAACTTTTCATGAAAATTCCTCGGTTAGTTTACAAGTTACAGGTGAGACCTAAAATAAAGCAGTGCTCTAGTCAACATGAACGCCAACCTTACCTCAAAAGCACAAGTGTTACTGGGAAGTTTTGTCTACACCACATTTTACAGTTGATTTTATAAATTATTTCTTAAAATAAACTTGATGAAGTATTTAGTCTTAGTTAACCCACTGAGGAAATGGAAGGACAAAAGTCTCTAGGACAAAATGTTCAACTCTGCGTGTGTTACCCTTCAAAATATGTCCTTGGGAATCCTAGGGTCAGGGACATGGAACATGTTTCTCCATGAACTCGTACTTAAATTAGGACACCTTCATACATATTAAAAGAATATCTGCCCTACACAATTAATAATAATATTACCTGACCCTAATATTCCCTTTGTGAAGAAATACGATCCAAATCTTGGAATTAAGGGAAAAAAATGAGTATAGATTTAATTAATGTTATATTGTAGCATTTGCAAATAGGCCCATGCATGGTTTGTCAAATTCTCTGGAACATATATTTTTTAACTTAATGTTTAATATTAAGTAAGGCTGAAGCTTGTTAATTTGTATAAGATTGGTAAGCTACAAATGATTTTTGTCCAGTAAAGAAACAAAGGGTATCTGTAGACATGTGGCCTCAAAGGTTCCAGTTTTATCGCCCTGTGTCTAAGTTTGCAAGCCTATGGCAGCCGTTTCCTCCTGGCTATATGATCTGTACCCTTTAAATGTTCCTTTCCAGCTTTGCCATCCTCCTGGTTCCCTCATTGATGAGTTCAAGAATTTGTTGACAAGTACTCTTTATATATTTTCATGAAAGCCATATTTCTAACTTTTTGAAAAGGATATACTATGACAGTTTCATGAGGGAAGACTAATATCTGGCCTTAATTAAACATTTGTTGTTGGACTTCAGATATCTCACATCAAAATATCTGATTTCTTTTGCCATTTCCCATATCTAAGAGGTTTAAATCCAGTAATGATTGTTCTGATGTATTTTTCATAAAACTGCATTATCACATGTTACATGAATTGCTTTCCAAATTACATGTCTTAGGTATCAGACTAATTTATCTGATCAAAATTATTATAATAATGAAATATAAATTTCTAGTTTTCAGTTCAAATGTGATGTTAGTATTTTAAACATTTTTTATATGGGGATTGTGTTTTCTTTTTTTGTTTTTTCTGGTAAGTCACAATAATGGTTGCAATATTTAAATCATATTTTTTTCATAGTAGCTAACTCTGTATTTCTATCAGAGTTCAATCTTTTAAAAAGAGCATATCAAACATTGCACTCTCGGGGTCTAGATAAATAATGAAGAACAACAATAAATATCAAATCAGGATTGAAAAAAAAATTCCATTGTCACCCCTCCTCCATGGGAGACTTGGCTCTTCCTCCATGGAAATGGCGGAGTAGTATATCACATAGGCTCATCTGGCTTTGAAGATTAATTAACATGTTACTTACTACAAACTTATTGAATAGTATTGTCCTCTAATAAAGCAAAATTTGTCAGTAAGGAAAGGATTTTTTAAGGATTTATCAAGAAGAACTGGATCATATAAGCAATTTACACTCACCTTATACCAATACTTCTAAAGTACCAGGATTTTAAATGAATGCAGTTGCCATTTATGGGATAGGAGGGGGCAGTAGATGAGGAGGGTAGGAGTGAAAGATAAGCATTCATAACACTCAATATCCCATGACTCTCTTTTTTATAAATTATTTTTTTAATTAATACCAACCAATGCTATCAAATATCATAGAACTCTTTTAAAAAATACAACATTCGAAGTAAATTTTAACAACTAGAGGAATTGGACATTTGGATTCTTGCTTACCAGTATTCTCCCAAAGCTTAATTTTTACCTGTGTTCTTGTCCCTCACACCTTATTGATAGAATCAAGTGCTTTTTTCCCTCTAAACTACAGTGACTCCTTCCTTATTCATTATAAGAACTATTCTCATTATAAAGAAGTGGCTATTTTTTTTTTAAATAAAAGAAACATAATAAAAACACACTGCATTGAAATTACCTGGAGGGGAAGTGACAGTAAAAATAAAGTGCCAATTTGACCCAGAGATCAAAACTGCCAGGTTGGAAAAGCTCACATAACCCTCTTGAGTTTCTGCCTGAGTGCACCCTACAAACAAACACAAAAACAAGAAGTAAATGTTAGTTACCTACTCAGAGAAATTTGTTCAAATCTTCTTTGTAAAGAGGTGATTGAACAATAAAGGAAAAGCATTTCTTTTTCATTAAACAAGTTACTAAATCCATCATAATGTTCTTAAACAAGTCTTGGAACCAAATAATCCAAGATAAAATAATAATAACAGCTAACATATATCGAAAGCTTAACCAGACACTGTGCTTTATATGCATCACTATAAATAAACTACACAAAAACCCTATAAAATATGTTATTATCTGTATTATTTAGAGATAAGGAAATAGGTTCATAAAAGTTTCAACTACTTGGTGCTGGGGTTATAGCCCAAATCTGCCTAATTTCAGTTAGCATTCTTAATCCTTACTATATATTGACAATTTTTAATATTAAATGTTTCTCAAGGAAGAAAGACTATTATCTTTCTAGGAGGTCAGTTTCTAGGCTCTGCCTCTTTTCCCCACTCAAAGCATCTTTGGTTTATGTGATGGCAAAGTTAGGCCAATTGATCAAGGCTTTAGCAACGTATCAAATCTTGACTGATAAAGGCTATCCCATGATTTAGCTACTTAAATCGCCTAGGCTATGGTTTCCCTGAATAAAATGGAAAAAAGAAAGCTTACATCTTCTAAAAATAGGCCACCTATTTATAATTAAAAGAAGACAACTTAACTCAGGATCACATTCACAGTGCCATTAATTAGTCTTCTGACTCCAGCATCCTCAAATTACTCTGCTAATTACCAGCTGCTCCATTTCACTCTGCAAATGTCACTATGATTGGTATGATGGACAATGAGTTAGGAGAGTGGTCTTGAAGTTTATAAATTGGTTTGAGATCTTTAAGGCTGAAAGGTATCATAAAGATATAATCTGCTTAGTGTTACATTTTTCAATTCAATTGCTCAATCTTTTTTTGTGAAAACATTGTCTTTCCTCATCAATTTTGTGGAGCTAACTAAAACTTCCTTTTTCAAAAACATCTTTTCCTTCATCTCTTCAGAGTCCCAAAATAAATAAAATGCCCAGAAAAATGGAAATAAATAAGCCAAGACTAAAATAAATGATAGGCGCCCAAGATAAATGCAGTTTATACTCTTTAAAACCTATATGCATCAAAATTATGGCCAATAAACTCTTGCAAACAATGAACTGCAGAGTACAGATGTTCAACATGAAATCGTTTGCTGCAGTTTTTCCTTTGACAAACGTCCTTATTGTTCCCGTCTTTGGAGGAATACAAAGCAGCATTTAATCGAAATGTGTCCGTGGAGCACAGTGAGTCTGCTTCGTAGAACAGCCGTCAAACTGCCTAATGGAAAGTGCTTTAACTCCAAATGGGTTTGCTTTTGTGTTAAATACCAGCTTGCCTCAGAGATCTCTACAAAGATTCCCATATATATCTATGATATTCTCAGATTTGAAGCATATGCACCCAAAAGCTGAGGCAGTTGCTGCCAAGTACAGTATATTACTCCAGGGTTCATCATATCTCTGGAATAGTGCTTGTAAAATATACAAATGTCATTGACAGGCTCCCTGATCGAGCCCGTATGAACAATGTATGGGCTGAGGGAACTTGGGATGGGGTGGGGTATTGGGCTTGGGCAAGACTGAAATTGATTACATGACTTACCAGGGAATGCGACCTGAGTATGTTTCTGCAGGGCATATGGTTTCTAAAATACCTTTCCAGCCCAAATTTTCTGCCTCAACTATCCTTCTCATCCCCAGCTATACACACTAGCAAACTGTTATATCCTTAATGTTGAGGTTTTATTTTTTAAAAATATTAAGAACATATCTTTTTTTCTACAACTAGGATCTATAATTAAGTATCAAAGGATGTGAAGGGCCCTTAAATAATTGTCTTTATGTATATAAATCCACTTTTTCGTGAACAGATTATAACCCCTTTTTTACTGAGGAAGATCTACTGAGACAAAAGAACAAGAAGTTATATTGCAGAATAAAAGACGTAGACTAGACGTATAGGTATGATGTTGTTGTTATTTTGTTTTTCTCCAGGAAATGCTTAGAATGAGTTATGTAACCCATCCCAAATGGTTTTGGCTCCATTCTTTCTGAAGTTAAAGAGAAGTATTTCATGATGGTTTTAAAAGGTACTTTCAAACATAGGAAATAGAATGTTTTGGCAATGTAGGCATTCTAAAAACAGAAAACTACCCAAGATTTTTTTCCCTACTTCATGACACAAGTAAAAAAATGCAGGCATAGAAGACAACCTCAGCCTGTTCCTCATACTTTTTTGCTGAATCTCCCAAGGAGGGTAATGGTGATAATACTGATCCAGGTGAATCAGCTCACTTAGCGTGAATTGATATTAATAGAATAAAATAGCAGCTTCATGCATAATCACAATATGATTCTAAGCTAGTCAGTGATTATATCGTTAGGATAACTGAAAGAAAAATAATGAAGGATTGGGGGTGGGGTGGGGTAAGTATCAGGAGTGTGGCAAAATTAAGTGTGGAGTTTGAGTAAGGCACGGCATAGGAGAAAGGTGTGGAGTATGGGTAAGACACGGAGCATGAGTAAGGTACTGAGTATGTGTAATGTATAAATATGGTAAGGTATGGAGTATGACTAAGGTATAGAGGATGAGTAAGGTATGAAGTATGAGTTAAGGTAAAAAATATGTGTAACTGAACTGTACATGTAAAACTGATTAAGATAGTAAGTTTTATGTTCTGTGTATTTTACCACAATATTTAGAAAAAGGAATATGGGTAAGACATGAAGTATGACTAAGGACCTGGGTATGGGTAAGTGATGGAGTAGGAGTAAAGGTATGGAGTGTGGGTACTATATAGAGTATGGGTAAGGTATGGAGTATAACTAAGCATATGGAATATGAGCAAGGTATGGAGTATAATTAAGGTACTGGATATGGTTAAGTTATAGAGTATAGGTAAGGTATTACTGTAAACTCAATGTTTATATCCTCCAAAATTCAAATGTTGGAACCTAATCTTAAATATGATGATGTCTGGAGGTGGGGCCTTTGAGAAGTGATTAGGTCATCAGGGCAGAGCCATCATGAATGCAGTTAGCATCCTTATAAAACAGACCACAGAGAGCTTTCTTGCCCCTTCTGCCATTTGAAGACATGATGAGAAGATGGCCATCTATGAATCAGGAAGTGGGCCATTCCAAAATTGAATTTGTTGGAGCCTTGATCTTGGGTTTCTCAGGCTCCAGATCTGTGAGAAATAAATGTCTTCATTTATAAGCCACCCCCACCACCACCAGCAGCAGCTTATGGTATTCTGTTATAGAAGCCTGAAAGTACAAAGACAGATATAGAGTGAGGGTAAGGTATTCGGTGTATGTATGGTTTGGAGTGTAGATGAAGTATAGAACATGGGTAATGCATGGAGTGGAGGATAGGGGTAGCTGAGTTTCAATAGTCAGGTGAGGGTAACTGATGTATATATTACTAGAGCATGAAAAAAGCTGCAAATTGATATTTTTGATACTGCTGGATTAAGATCAGAAAGTAGCTGAATTACTGTTATATCTTATGCATCTCAAAATAAAATGCCAAAAACAGCTTAATGGCATTGAAGAATAGACAGAATGACATCACCAAAACAAGTAATTTGAAATTACCTCATCACTTCCCGGCCTTTTGGCTAAGATCAAGCATAAAATTACCTCATAATGCAGTTTTCAATGTTTAATTTTCACATTAGCCAACCTTGGATAGTTTTGTTCAATTATCTTGTTTTCTTAATAATTTGGTTTGTTTCTACAAATTTGTACAGGAAACATTTTGGGCCGTCCTCTTTCCTTGGGATTTGAAACCCAAGGATTTCACTGGGTAAAGGAATCACCAAGAAAAGTGAAAATATGAGTCAGCAATATGGGTGTTATTTTTACCAAAGTGAGTAAAATATAGACTGTATGAGTGGAAATGCAGAAAATATGGAACATCTATGAGGTGATTCTCATAAAATGAGCAGTATCATCTGGCCATTAAAATTGGATTATACAAAGAGAAAGCGGACAGGGTGCTGAGGAGAGTAACAACACTGTGGATGTTTGGAGGAAAATTATTTTTTTCTAAAGGCTGAAAAGTTTTGATTTTTTAATAAGTAGATAGAGTAGGGAAATTATTGGCCAAAATAGTTGCAAGGCAATTTGAAAAGAGATAGTCAAATTTATACCTCTAATAAAAAACAACAGAACAAAACAATATTTAAACAATAAGGGTTTTGAAGCTATGAAATTCCTTATCATGAAATGTTGATTGCTTCCTCAAGAAAATGTTCAGAAGGGGATAGTTCTGTTTTTGGAATTGATGAAGTGTAGCTTTGTACAAAAAAAAACCAAAAACAAAAAAACGAAAACCTATAAGCTAAATAAAACAGCGATGTAGAAAAAAATATCCGGGATTAATTCATTAAAAACTGTGTTGAATGAGAATTCATTATCTTGGGAACTTTATCATAACAAGTTTACCTTTTACCTTTTTTAGAGACAAGTAACAAAGAATGAAAAAGCAATATCCTCAGAAGAGGCAGGTGTTATATACCAGACAACAGGAATAATTTAGGCCAAAATAAATGCAATTAGCAGGAGAAGCAAGATTCAGCACTTCTATGATGGACTTATTCCTATGCATTTTAGCATTTCATATATTTTACAGGAGTCATGTGATTGAGCTTAAACTCATAGCCAAGGTGGCACAAGAAATATAACTGTAAAGTAATGGCCTTTTCTTGGAAACCAGAGATTTTGCAGATAGGCTGATGTTTGAACTGGTAGGTGAGTCATTTACAAGTTTGAAAAAAACATTACAGACAACTCAGAACCAGCAGAATTGTCTTAACTGGTTTACAAAGTGCACAAGAAATCTGATAAGCTAATTTTTTAAAGTTATCAATACATCTTCTAATTTTGCTTTTGTTGTCTGTGCTTTTGATGTTATATCTATGAAGTCATTGCCAAGACCAATGTCAAGAAGCTTTTCTTCTGTTTTCTTCCAGGAGTATTACAGTTTCAAGTCTTACGTTTAAGACTAATCCATTTTGGGCTGATTTTTCTGTATGGTGTAAAGCAAGGGTCTAACTTCATTCTTTTGCATGTGGGTATCCAGTTTCACCAACACTATTTGTTAAAGAGACCATCCTTTCTCCACTGTGTATTCTTGGCTCCCTTGTTGAATATCAGTTGACCATATATGCATGGGCTTATTGGGTCTTCGGAAAAGTCATGACGCATGTTTGCAACAGATGGCATTAGTTCATTTTTGGAAGTACTAGAGTCATTTGCATCTATGGTATTACTATGTCATTTGACAGCTGACAGTTCTAGCTTTATTCTAAAAAAAAAAAATTGAGCGATTTGGTTGAGTTTGGGAGATTTTACAACAAGTTGAAAATGAAGGCCCAAACTGTGCATTTTTGCCATATTTTACTGTTTTACTTCCATAAAGGGAAGAACACACATCAAGCTTGTGAAAAGTTGTCTAAAGTTTACGGTGAAAATGCTCTATAAGAACATCAGTGCCAATGATGGTTCACAAAATTTTGTGCTGGTTATTTTGATCTCAATGATGCTCCTTGGTCAGGGAGGTTGGTGACGACAAAATAAAGACATTGATCGAGTCAAACCCACAATACACAAAACGAGAGATTGCAGAAACATTGAACATCCATCATTCAAGCATTCATGAACAACTGAAGAAGCTGGGATACATAAGCAAGCTCAATATTTGGGTTCCACATGAACTCAAAAGAGTTCATTGGACAGCGTGTATAAACATCTGCAATATGCTCATTAAATGCAAGGAAAACGATCCTTTTTTGAAGCGACTGATAACTGGTGATGAGAAGTGGATTGTTTACAACAATGTGGTGTGCAAACAGTCTTGGTCCTGAAGTGATGATTTGCCTCAAACAACATCAAAAGCAGACATTCATCAGAGGAAGGTTATGCTCTCAGTGTGGTGGGATTTTAAAGGTGTTGTGTTTTTCGAGCTCCTACCAAGGATCCAAACATCATTTCGAATGTGTACTGTTGGCAATTGGACAGTTAGAATGAATCCATCATCTATAAATGTCCAGAGTTTGTTAATTATAAAGGAGTTGTGTTCTACCATGACAACGCGAGACCACACACAAGTTTGATCATCCATCAAAAATTACTGGAGCTTGGATGGGATGTGTTGCCACACCCACCATACTCGCCTGACCTTGCACCATCAGCCTTCTACTTGTTTCGCTGTCCTCAAAACTCCTTGTGTGGTATAACGTTCAATTCAAATGAGGCTGTAAATCAGCACCTTGTTCAGTTTTTCGCAAATAAAGACAGGTCTTTCTATGAACGAGGAATTATGAAGCTCATTGAAAGATGGCAAAAGGTTATTGAACAAAATGGGCAATATATCATTGATTGATCTTTGTTCTTTATATAAATAAATGACCTTTGAAAAACAGACAAAATACGTCATGACTTTTCCAAAGAAAATATTTCTGGGTTCTCTATTCTGCTCCATTGGTCTACATGTCTGTGTTTATGCAAGCACCATTCTATTTTATTTACCATAATTTTGTATATATTTTGAAATCTGGAAATGTGATGCCTCCAGTTTGGTTTTCGTTTTCAAGATTGTTTTGGCTGTTCAGGATCTTTTGTGGTTCCATATGAATTTTAGAATTTTTTTTCTTTTTCTGTAAGAAATGTTATTGGGATTTTGATAGACACTGCACTGAATCTGTAGATCATTTTGGGTAGTATGAACATCTTAAGCAAACTTAGGAAAATAGAGTTACATCAAACTAAAAATTTTCATAGCAAAACAAACAATAAACAGAATGAAAAGGCCACCTGCAGAATGGAAGAAAATATCTGTGAGCCATATTTCTGATAATAGTTAATTTCCAAACTATACAAAGAACTCCTACACCCTAATAGCAAACAAACAAAAACAAATGACCTGATTTAAAATAAGCTAAAGACTTGAATGGACATTTCTTCAAAGAAGACCTACAAATGGAGAACAGGTATATGAGAAAATGCTAAGCATCACTAATCATCAGGGAAATGCAGATCAAAACCACAATAAGATATTATCTCATACCTATTAGGATGGCTATTATCAAAACACCAAAAGACAAGTGTTGGTGAGGATGTGGAGAAATTGGAACTCTTGAACACTATTGGTTGTTTTGCAAAATGGTACAGCCACTATGGAAAACAGTAGAGGTTCATCACAAAGTTAAAAATAGAATGACTATACAATCCAGCCAGCCCACCTGTGAATTTATCTAAAAGAATTGAAATCAGGATCTCAAAGAGATAGCTGTACCCCATGCACTGTACCCCAGTGCTATTCACACTTGCCAAGATATGGAAACAACCTAAATGTCATCAGCAGATGAATGGTTTTGTCACCCCAATAAACTTCAATAAAAAAAAAATCCCCTATGAAAATATTTAAATCTGCTGTTTGCCTGGGTATAACCTTTTAATAATTTTACCCATTGCTTCTATTCAAATAGTTCTGTTTAATACTTATCTGGCAGGGGAGATACTATGATCATTAAATAGTTCTGTTTGAATTTTCTTTTTTTTTAAAGTTGTATTAAATTTATTGGGGTGACATTGGTTAGTAAAATTATGCCATTGCCATGGCATTGGGTACATGATGAGAGTTATAGTAACTGCAATGTAAATGAGATTATAATGACATTAAAATTAGCTAAAGGTCAGGTCCCAGGGATCAGCTGAGCTGAAGAAAACTGGTTCTTGTTTTTCTCCAGCTGCAGGTGTTAGATGTGGTTACTTGTTATATCCTGGACGGGGTGGTCAATTTCCTAGGCTACTTATCCTGCCTCACTTTGAAAGAATTAAGCAAGAAATGAGCACTTATGACAAGCTTTCAACAGATGGAATGTAAACACTAAGAAGCAAATCCATTACTATGTCAAGACCTTGTAAATTTGAAATCTCCAAGAACAATCCTTGAGTAAAAATATGTACATCTAAAGAATCAGCATAAGTAATAGAGACTGTCAGAACCATAGGAATTCAGATAAAGAGAAAATTAAGTGTTGATAGGAGCAATGACTTATTAAGGGGATATACAGCAACAGAGGTTAGAAGGATTCATTGGGGGTAGAGCAAAGCTAACTTGTGTTCTTCCCTATAACTTTTGGTCTAAGAACTTTGGAAAATTCTTTGTCACTTAAAAAAAAAACAAAAAAAAAAAAGAAAGAAAATGTGGTATACACATACAATGGAATATTATTTAGCCATTTTAAAAAAAGGAAATTCTGAAATATGTGACAACTTGGATGAACCTTGAGGATATTATGCCAAAGAAATAAGCCACAAAGGGACAAATACTGTGTGATTCCATTTATATATACATGAGGTATCTAAAATAGTCAAACTCATAGAAGCAAAGAATACAATCATGGCTTTTTTATTTTCGTATGCACAAGCTGCCAGGAAACTACATGAAGCTCACAGTGGTGCTGGCACTGCGGACAAAAACAGAGGACAAAAAATGGTGGAGAGGGAAAAATCAACTGGAGGGTCTGCTCTGGGCCAGGCGCTTTGCATTTACCATCACATTTTTCGCCTGTCACTGGGATCGAGTGTCTCTTCATTGGAACCTCATTGTACCTGTGTACTTGCTCCGTGGACCAGTCTATGGTATTGTACCAAAGAATTGCTTGTTTTAGTAGGACATGCTCTTCTTCTTATAGTATACCATACTGAGGATATGGGATATGACCAAAATGCTCCTTTATCACGCGAGGAGGGAAGGGAAGGGAGAAGGTGGTTCCTTGAGTATTTACTGCCAGCCTAAACTTTCTTTTTGCAGACACTGGCTTTGTAGGCTGGGGATGAAGGTGTTTCTTCCAAATCACTGAAGATACTGAGTGTTACTGACCTTACTATGAATTCCTAATGTTTGCAAACATTCTCTGTGCAGATGCAGAAGTAACAGGCCTCTGAATGCCATAGATACCTACCTTTCAGCACTGAATCTGATGTCCCTTCCAGGGAAACAGAAATGGCCCAAGGCTCTGAAGGGGGCCCCAAGGACTCTACTCTCCGATTCTGGAAACAGAAAAATAAAAAGGAAACGTTGGGTTCAGAAGGTAATTTTGTGAAATTATCTAAAACACAAAGAATACAGACAGAATCTTTTATAAAACACAAGTTCCGTAGAAATAAGCAAAGGAAGGAAAATGATAAGCATTTTCTTTCTCATGTTAAGAATATATAAAAATTAGCTGATGGAGAGAAGAGAAGGGACATTATCGCAGACAAAGTTGGGGCAGGGCAGTGAGGAGAAGAGAGCAAAGGGACATTTTTAGAAGAGGGAAGTGGCGTTATGTGCTGAAGGTTAATAAGGAAGGAAACGGTAAGAGAAGAAAGCAGGAGAGAATTGGGTGAGTGCCAGACTACACCAAAAGTGACAGGTTTCCAAGTGTGGACCTAGTCCCCTGGCCTTCATTCCTCTGCAAGCATGTCAGGGGATGCATTTTTAAAATAAAGAGCGGAAATCTGATGTAGCTACCCTATTTCCCTTTTTTCCCTGTGTGACTTTAGTAAATATAGAAAAAATAGGACCAGAGGGCCTGGACACTGAAATTAGAATTAAGCACTGAACCCTCTGGTTGATGATTTACTTAACCAGCAAGCCCACTTCTGGGTATTTATCCAAATATAAGACAAATCATTTAAAATAACATAAAACTACAACGCAGATGTGATGGCACAAAGTCCTTCATCGGCATATGAAATTATTTCTTCAGATATACTTCCTTGAGAAGGCTGGATTTCTGAGATGGTATGAGAGATCTACTTTAAGAATTTGCTAGGGCAGGAAAAGTACCAGAATTATGTTTTTTTCCCCTCAATCAAATTCTGGACATTCATATAAAGTGGAAGGAAAGTAGGATGTGAAATGGAAGGAAGATAACGAAAGTAGTTCTAAGTGCAGCAAATGTCACACAGTGAGCACTCTGTAAATGTTTGTCATGATGGATCCTAAACAATGTGCTGAGTACACACTACCCAGCTCTAAAGAAAGAGTGTGACCTGTGAACAAGTTACCTGCTTATCCACAAAAACGAGTTGTGGTTGTACCGGAAGCTCTTTTCCCACTTCTCCATCTGAAGGCTGGACTAGGACTGAAAGAGCATAGGGCCGAATATATATCACCTCCTCAGTTTTCAAGTGGCTAGTATTTCTGACACATGTAAAAAACAAAACAAAACAAACAAACAAACCAGAATATACCCATAAGATTACAAATATCAATGCAGTAGCTATAAGGCATAATACATTATCAGAGAGAATATTTGCATTTGCATCTAGAAACTTAATAATACACTTTATAGTGAACATCATCTTATAAACGAAGAATAACTCTGTATTTATTTTATATGTTTACTTAGCCATAGTAAAGGATAGACTGGGTGTTGGGGGCATGGAGAAGCACAAATTACGAACTCCAGTTTTTATCACAGTGTATTAATATCAGCCCCCAAAAAGCCTCAGTGAGGGAACTTATCAGGCTGAAATACACAGAAGGTGGGGATGTGTTACAGAAGTAAACCAGCTCTTCCCCAAAAGACCCTGATTTGCAGTATTTTCCAATTTCCATGGTAGAAATACTCTCACAATGGCTGATTCTGGTACCCAGATGACATCACGGAGAATTGGGAAGAGATACTTGAGAGCGAGCTCCAGCACACCAGAGTTTGACATGGAATAATTCATTTAGTACTCGAAACAGCCCTTTCACCGTGTGCTTGCACTAAATAGGTTCAATAACTGTGGAATTAATTCATTAATTTATTTTAATTGAATGAAGCCCTCAGGGAGAATAATACCTATAATCACTATATACTGAATACTTTCTGGGTAGCAGGTACTATTCTAAGAACTCATGGCATCTTTAAAATGACACTGTGAGGTAGGTACTCTTGTTTCTACATGAAGAAAATGAGGTCCAAAAGGCTAACGTAACTTGCCAAAGGTCTTACAAATGGTAAGTATGTGACCAAGGTCTAGAGCAGTTAACCAATAAGCTATATTGTTTTTCAGGTCTTTGTAGCACATTCATTGCGGATCTGACTTAGCAATAAACTGAATAAATAAAATAAAATAAAATGGTTAGATAATCCATGACACCTTAAAACATCTTTTCCCAGAGCTTTGGCATTTTTGATGATCAAGATAGCTTTAGTAAAAGAACATCATATATATATATATATATATATATATATATATATATATATTGCCCCATTAAGCCTATTATGTATTATACATCACAGGCATGCAATAGATTTTTAGCAATTAAATGGAGATTATAGATATCATATAATGCATATATTACCCTAATATAGGGCATCCTATGGGGACTTATCCTCAAAAAAAACCTAGGTCAGGTCTCACAAGAAAGGATTTTATTTTTAAAAAAGAAAAAAAAAAGCCTATCCTGCCCTAAGTTAAATGCTTGTGAGTCAGCTACTTTATTCCCTTGCCTTTTTTTTTTCTTTTTGTGAGGAGAAAAGGATAAAATATTTATTTAACATGGAAGGTGTATGCCAGGTAAAGTTGACAATTAGTCCTAAAAGAGGAAACAGTGGAAGAGCAAATATAGTGGATAAATATTTATGGAGTTTCTATAGGAAGCAATTTCCCTCTCCCCTGAGAACCCTGGGAAATGGGGGGCAGAGTGCGAATAAGTGGTCCTAAGAACTCCCTTTGGTCATCTACCAGCTAAGGCCCTGACCTCTGCTAGAATCACTCACTGGGAATTCAACATACACTAGCCTGACCATCACTTATTATTAGTTTGCTTAGCCTCAGTGGGTATGGCTCCATTTTAATTGTTTTTAAGGGAATAATCTAAAGCAGATTTTTAAAATCCATACTATTAATTCTGTTCTTCTATGGGTCCCAGGTTACTGGAAGATTTTAACATTGTTATCAGGTCCTGTTTCTCTCCTAACTTATTTCTTAAATGCTTTCTGATGCAGGACAGGATCGAGGCCAGCAGTGTGGGTTAAAGCAACTGAAAGACTCCATCAGAGATTCTTACATAAGTACATTGATGTCTAGAGACTAAGGGATGGGAACCAACTGCCTGAACACCCGCTGAGAGGCCATCCCTGACACACTTTAAAGTTTATTGTGAGCAAACATCTCTTATTAAATGTAAACAGCATCTCACTGGAGGTCAGAGACATGCTGCTACAGCATATCCCAAGGTAATACCACTTTAAGCTCCACATAAACTCTTAAGCAGTTTCTATCCTAAAACCTGACCGTAGGTGGTACAGTTTTTTACGATATGTTATAATAGTGCAATAAATCTGTTAGCTTAAAATCGAATCTCCGTGGCCTTTTAGAGAAATCATCATTAAATGCAGGGTCCTGTTAATGATGCCATCGAAGTGAAATTGTTTAATCTGCTAAGGGGGTGAAAGGTCACCAAATGAATTTTTTATAATACATCAACTTGACACGCAATAGGGAAAACTGTAATAGATAAAAGCAAAGGAAAAGGGCACTGTCTTCTTCTGATAGGTCAATAGCAGCCAAGAGAGTCACTCATCCACTTTCCTTTCACGACGGGGCTCCTTTTGCATTTAATATGGACACCCAATTAATACCTCAGCACCACAGACAACCTCATTTTAGGTGACTTATAGCAATTTCTCCCCCTTCCCTGAAATGAAAGTGATCACAATACATCATAGCATTGTGCGAATTAACGTTAATTGATTCAAGTTACCAAGCAATGATGGGCCACTTATATAATCTAGGCGTTATTGGGTGCTAGAAGGGATGGAGGGAAGATTAGATTCCAGTGTCCGTTGCTGTGACGACGGGAGTCACCTGACGCCTTGTTAGACAGTTGTAAGGTTCTATTGCTGGCCCCAGTGGGGTCGTCAGTAAACTGGAGTGATGTCCAAACATCATTATACCCTGCTCCGATATTAAAGCAAAGGGATTAGCAACTTATTGCAAGCAACCTGGATTTGTCATTGTGCTGTCGTTATCCAATTTCCAACTGCTAATGTGACTGTAGCCTGCAGGCAGAAAGACCTACAGCCAAACTCTAAAAAATGGGGGAGGAAAGTTCCCTCCAAACCTCCCAGTTTTAACCACTATTTAACAGCTTCCAATACCCAGTCAGGTATGTGAAAGAATTTTTTTCCCCTTCAATGCTGAAGTGCAATCTGAAAAAGAAAGATCATGAGAATACAAACATTTCCCAGTTCACAGGTCACAACTATTCACTCCAACCCCTGCTTTTCTGCCAGGTCCAAACTGCTAACCCTGTAAAGGAGGAAATTATTTCTATTTGCATGGCAAACCCAGAAAACAAATGAACAATAAATCCTATTGGTGAAAGCTGGTTCTGGGCAAGAGAGCTATGATGAGGTGGTAAGGATGGGAAGTCAGAGAGACTTCCTCACTCCCTCGTTAACCTTTGCTTCCTTAAAGTTACGAAGTCAGGTTCCTTTAAAAGAGCCCCATGTTTTAAAGAAATGTTTCAGGGTGCCTGAGCTTTTTCAACCATTGTTATTTTCAATAGGCTAGACAGGACAGAATCTGTATATGCTAAGAGGAGACTTGAGTTTCAAGGGAGTTTGTAAAATTCTGTACCCTGGTAGAAGAAAGCAAGCTATTTAGTCACTGCATTTTAACACACACGTTAACTCTTCTACTATGTACAAACACTGTTCTACAGCAGATAGTGTGAGATATGCAAGGATAAATAAACACCATGACCCCTGTCCTTTAGAAATGTTCTTCTATATAGTTCGTAAGGCATGAATGACTTTACTGGTAAATTTTCAGAGTTGACAGGTACCATTTTACTTACACAGTAGTCCCCCTTATCCACAGGGCACTCCAAGACCCCCAGTAGATGCTTGAAACCAGAGATAGGGCCAAACTCTATGCATACTATGTTGTTTCTTATACACACATACCTTTTCACTTAAAGGAAGCAGTTTATGGCTTCCCTTTACATACCCAAATTGACACCATCACCAATCTTGTGCTTTGGGGCAATTGTTAAGTAAAATAAGGGTTACCTGCACACAAGCACTGCGATACCGAGACAATCAATCTGATCAGCTAGATGGCTACTAAGGTGACTAACGAGTGACTAGCAGATACAGGGTCGATACACTGGACAAAGGGGTGATTCACATCCCAGGCAGGATAAAGTGGGACAGTGCGAGATTTCATCACACTACTCAGAATGGCATGCAATTTAAAACTTATGCATTCTTCATTTCTGCAATTTTCCAATAAATATTTTTGGGCCATGGTTGACTGCAGGCAAATGAAACCTCAGAAAGCAAAACTGTGGGGACTACTGTATTCCATAGTCCTTATGCCCCCTGTCAAATCTAGCCAGATGCCCTTACCTGCTATAAACAACTCCTAAGAGGGAAGGAATATCTTACGATCTGAGTCTTTCACCCTGGCACTACAGCATAGTGGTTCCAAACTTGGCACACTGTAAGCACCCAATACATGTTACTGTAGTAACACTACAACAGATCAGGACCCACCATGCACTGCTTCTGCTCCTAGGCTACTAAATGCCTCTGGAAAGCCACCACCTACCCTGGCCTGGCCAACTTCACATTCTGGTACGCTCCTCAGTTGGTGTGCTTACGGTTATGTTCTAATACTCATTATTAAACTCTTGAGGTTCTTTGGAATTATTCATTTCAAATTGAGATTTGAGTAACACTAGGTATATTTGCAGTGTGCCAGGAGCATATAAAGACACAGAGTAAATATGGCACAGCTTCCAACAAGGTCAATTTAGAGGTCAAAACATAAGTATTTTAGTTGGTAAATCATTTAAAATAATATTTTATAATATATCCAGCATGAATATCTTATTTGGAATAATGGAAACCCTGAATACATTTTTAAGATCACACATAAAATATTCAAAATTTCTTGTTTGTATTGAGGTACAGTGGCAGTCAAAGTCTGACCAGAAATCACTCAAGATTTTTCTAATGAAAGAGATTTAAGACAAGATATTGGTTACACAGGAGTGTAGGAATAGCAGAGAAGCCAAGAAGATTGCATTTCAATATTTGCAAAAAGTATTTCATGATCAGTTATTGTGCATGGCACTGTGCTTAGGTACTTTTGGGGATATAATAGTAAGTTGAAGCCTTGACCACCTATTACATATTATAAAGATAAAAATATACTCAAGTTAATTTAAAAAAAAACTAAATTAATGGTTAGCAGGTTCATACTGAATTAATGATATCTTTGTAATAGATATAGAATAGTGAAATTTAATACAACATTCTTATTAAATAGTTACATAAATGTTTGTTTTGCCTATCCATTAATTTTTAAATCTCTAGATTTCCATACAAGCCATATAATTTTGGGACATAATAGCTGTTCAATTAATGTTTGGGAGACATAAAACATTGAAATGTAAGCTTTTATAACTCTTTATTATATTTACCTACAACTTCACCATCTGTACAAGTAAATATAAATTTCTTAATTTTAAGGTAATGTGCTTCAATTTTGGAATCAGAGCTACATGTGTATGTGGGTGGGGAACTGCTGGATGCAGATATGTCAAGAGCAGTAATGGATTACTATTAACATCCTGTTTATAAGGAAAACAGCAGAAAAAATAGAGCCTCCAGAAGTAGAATCAAAGATTTAGTGGTCCGGGGCCATTTAGTATAAGAACAATCATCCCTCAGGGCATCACTGCAGAAACAGGGCTGTGAAATAAATGATAGTTTTAATGATGGCTATGAATCATCAATAAAAATGTGAATGGTCTACATTATTTCCCATTTAATAAGACTGGATAATATTTTTTTTTAAGTTTAAAAGATGAAAGCTTTTTAAAACATATAGTGATAAAAGGAGCAATTTTTAATTAAATGGAAAGTGTGTTTATGCAGAGTATCTCATTTCCCCACAAAATCACATATATAAAATACCATTGTGACAATTTTGCCATACACCTCACCCAACAAAGTAGTGTGTTTGTATTACAGTGAAAAGAAGACAGTGCAGAAATATTCTTTAACAGCAAAGTTGTGGTTTTTGCCATGAGGGAGGAAAGAGACAGGCTGGTAGTATAGGAATCTCTTCCAGGATGAACGTTCTGCCATTCTTGGGAAGACTACCGTCCCATGTTGACAGAAAGATTTTGTCCTTACATACTCAAAACAGCTGTTTCCTAGAAAGCAGATGCCCAGGGGACATGGAGAGGTTACACAAGAGAAGATGCTAAACGAGACCTACTGCCAATAGACTCGTCTAATTGTCTCTCCTAGTTTTCTCCTCTGTTCTAAGTCTGCTTGATGGGTGCTCACTCTACAGAAGAAAGGAACTAAAAGTCTACTTGTGTGATGGGTACAAAAACATACATCTATCCATGCCCACAGTGTCATGCTCACCCTCACTAGAACTGTTTTGAGGGCCCAAGGTTCATGTCAGTGTCACAGACAAGGGTTTTATGTGAGATAGCGTATTAGTTTTCCATTTCTGCCTAACAAATTACCACAAACTTAGTGACTTAAAATAACACAAATTTATTGTCTCCAGATTGTGGGTCAAGAGTCCAGACAGGCTTGGCTGAGTTCTTCAAGGCTGAGGTAGAGGCACTAGGGAAGAATCTACTTCCAAATACATTCATATTGTTGGTAGAGTTAATTTCCTTGTGGCTGTAGAACTGAGGTCTCTGTTTCCTTGCTGGCTGCCAGCAAATATCCTATCTCTATTCTTAGAGTCTACCTGCTTTGTCTTCTCATGTGGTCCTTTCCATCTTAAAAGCAGTGACAATTCAAGTCTTTCTCACATTTTGAATCTCCCTGTCTTCCTCTTCTGCCTTCTTCTTTTGTCACAACAGGAGAAAGCTCTCCTCTTTTAAGGGCTCATGTGTTTAGTTGGGCCCACTTTGAGAATCTGGATATTTCTTCTATCTAAAGGTCAACTGTGCCATATAACATAGTATATTCACAGAAGTGCTATCTGATCATATTTGTAGGTTCCTGGGATTAGACCAGACATTAGATATTCTGCCAACCATAAACAGATCTGGCATTTCAATAGCCAAACTCCCATTAAAAAATGCAGATATATTTAATTTTTCCATATGACAAAGAATATTATTATTATTAACTTTAAAGAAAGGAGGGAAAGAAATTCAAGAGAACAAAAAACAACTTTCTATGGAAATGAAGGGAACCAATATAAAATGTGTCCTGCCAGGATTCCAAATAAAAGGCAGAATTTAAAAATAAGACACTCCTATGGGGAACCCCCAGATTGAAAGGGCACATTGAACATATGTTTGTCTCTGTTCCTTCTACTGCACTGAAGTTACTTAAAAGAATAAAGATACATAAAAATAGTGTAAATCAACAAGGATAAAGAAGCAGGAGAGGAGAGAACTGACAACAGAGGTCAACAAAGTTTTGTAAGATAGAAAACAGGTTCATAGAACTGACTTAGCTAAATGAGGAAACTTAAATCCAGATGCATTTAGAGAGGATAAAGACTAAGAGAAGCATTATTTAACTAAAAATAGAAAGCACTCTATTTCTCCTGACAAAGCAGAAGTTGGTAGGTTTTTGAAAGCAGGGAGTACTCCCCTTGCAAAGCAAATGTCCAATACGGCTTCAATTTGTTGACACGCATGCAACCCTGTTAAATTAATTAGAACGAACCTCTCAAGAACATCCTTGGTGCTTTTCACTGAAAGGCCTGTGTCTTAGACTAATTTCTGCTGTCTCAAGGTCAATTCATTAGCTTGTCAATGGCTCTCGAGTGAGTTCAGTGGAAGTCCCAAACTGACACTGATCAAAGTTGAAGGAACAGAACTGGCCTTGGGGCCCGCACAGAGCTTTGGGGTTGTTTACCATACTGTGCAATTCTTAAGAACATGGGAAACCTTGCTAATTCTCATGCAATCCCTTAGGACATGGTATTTCTCATCACTCAGAGATTTATTTAGATATACTTAATAAGCAGCCTTTCCTTATCTTCAGAAAATTTGTTCTGTCTTCTGTCTAGAAATTCCTCTCAAAATAGTAGAGGAGTAGAGAGAAATGGGGGATATAACATATCCCGACAGAAAATTGATGCATCTAGTCACCCACACGTGACTTATAAGAACTCAGTGGGATCTAAATGAAATTGGGCTAAAGGAAAGAAAATATATTTAAACATAAGCAAAGACAGATTAGCATAATATTTTTCAGAATCCTGATTCTTATATCTCATACATAATATCATAATAATGTCAATAGCATGGTGAAGGTTTGGTGGTTGGTAAAAATATCCAAGATTTAATAGATTCTGAGCAATCATGCAACTAGGAGTACATTTTAATTCTAAGCTAACAATTCCCCAAACTCTTCAAATCAACCAGAATCCAGAAAACAAAAATGCGTGAGTTTTCTTTTCATATTTTCCATACATATTAATGTACTGTAAGAAAGAGGAGCACCTGTCTCCATTGTAAAGACAGATAAAATATAAAACAAAAACACTAGATAACCTTCCATATGGATATGTTTCCCTGCGTATAAAAAGGCAATTAATATATTAGTTGAATATGCCTCAAAATGTGAAGGTATCACTTTTTGCTTTTGTTGTTTATTTTATAGTGAATTTCACATTCATTGGAGATGGTTGTATAGAGGTAACTAACACCCATTAAATATTAATTGCTCATTTATTAGCACTACTGCATATAAGATGAAAAAGCAATAACAACATAATAATCAAAAAGAATATGAATGCTCTAAAATTTCATGGAGTAATATAGCTCAGAATCTACATAATTTTACCTATTTCAGGGACCCAATATTATCTCAAACTATGCATGGGTTTATCTTATTTTTCCAGTAGCGGTGACAAATTTATAGGGACTATCTATGTTTGCCCATCTCGAGCCCTCTACACCCAAGCAGCATGCATTTCTGAGGTGGTTAGTTTTATATGTGTTTCCTGAGCATTATGACAAGTTCATATTGTCTCTCAGTCTGGGCATCATTTTTTATTCTTTTGTATCCACTAATAATTAGAGCTTGGGACTCTAACATTTTTTTTTTTTATTTTTTTTTTTAGCTGAGCCATCCTGCTACCTGTTGGCAGCTCAGCGGCTGCTCAGCTTGGGCCGAGCATCGAACCGCTGTTGCTCAGAGCTCAAACTCTTGAGCGAGCTCTTAACCAACTGAGCCACTTGGCCGGCCCCTAACAGTCTTGACTTCATGGCAGATGCCTTAGATGAATTTGGGCTAGTCAGTTCATCCCTTGGCTAACATAGTCTATAAAATTAAGAGTGATTTACACTGGCCTTTTCTTAATGTGTACTGTATATACTTCAGGGGAACATTCAGGTAAATCTACTTCTAAAATGTGTATTAAACAGAAACCCAGTGGAGAACTTCAAAATACAAGCTTATAGAGTCAGAATAACATAGAACAAAGGATATTACAGGTCCTACACAGGTCTGTGCTGTAAACATAGTTGGCAGCAGTGATGTTCCTGCCTCATACAATTTGACAAATGTATCCTTTCAGAGCTTTATAATCCTGGGTTAAATAAAACCCAACCACTGTCACTGTTTTAGCCTAGTAAACTCCTGGTCATCCCTCCAAAGTTTTCCTAAATATAAGTAACTTCCCCAGTTCCTACAGGTAGAATTATTATTAGCCTCTCAGTATTCAAGTTTTAGCTCATAGCTCTATGGAATTGTGATAGGTAATATTTTTGTTCATAAGTGTTTCACCTCAGCAACCCTAGAATCTAACCCACTGCTTAAATTCATTACATGAATAAATGAAAGAGCAAATGAATTGAAAATAAGTTGCTTTAGGAAAATCTCTTCCTACATGCTTTCCACTTTAAGGTACCAAACACATAATGTCTTCAACTATCCAGGAAATAGAATAATCATGAAAAATATAGATTTAATAAGGAATTTTAACATTGAGAATTTAGGACTACAAATGTATTCTTAAGAAGCATACAGGCTATATGATTCAATATACGTATTGACATTTGCAATATACACCCAAGAAATCAGTTCTAATTGGGATGTTATTATAATTAGTACTTACCCATAGCCATCGACTCCCTTTGACTGAGTCACCAGTAAGCCCCCAATAGTCACATTCAGAACATTCTCCAGTACTCCGGTCTGTTGAGCAGTGATAAGCTGGTGAGCCAAACCCTGTAATTTGTTAGTTGATAAGGATGTAATCAGGCCAGTTCTCCTTACTGTTGGCAGATCACCAATTTCAGTGACCATTACTTTTGAGATAGTTTCCATGGTGGTGGGTGGTGGGACCTTATATGAACTTATTTCCATCATGAGAGGTCTACGTTGGCCAACTCTGTAATGACTGGCACAAGTCACAGTTGGGCAATTGCGCTTTCTCTTTGCTCTATGGTCAGCAATGGCTTTTAATGTTGCTTCATTGCCAGGCATGTCTTGAATAAATCTGATCTGGTCTTGGCTAATTTGCAGGAAGTCAGTTAGTCTTTTGAGGATCGTGATTTCCCAGCCTTTTTCTGGGACTGAAAACATCACAGTGAAGGCCAAATGAATGGAAACACTTGAGTGTATTTCAATGGGCTTCTCTCCTTGTAGGACAACATACAAGAGATTATCCATGATGCTGAAATAGTTGGAACCAATAGACTCATCCAGCAGTGAGGAAGTTGATTGAACCAGAGTAGGTGGAATGAAACGTTCCCCTAAAAAAACATGGGGGCTCTGGAGTTCATGGTAGAATACAGCCAAGAGAAGCTTGGATGTACTTTTGTTCCCCAATAGAAAAAAACGCAAAACTTGAGGAGTGTGATCCACAAAGCAGACCTTGGTGATTTCCCTTGTAGGTAAAATGGAATAGAAAGTAGATAGAGATCCTGAAGTAAAGCAGGAAGTACTGGCATTTACACTACTAAAAGTGTCAACAAAACCACCGGTCACAGATACAACAGGATAGAACTTCCTCATTGTCCACGTGACATCAACATTGTCAAGAATGACGATCACTTGGTCAGTCTGCTTGCAGATGTAGCCTGGTATCAGGGATCGGTACGTACATTTCTGTTCTTCTCTGAATGTACCTATAAAATAAAGGAAAATAAACAACTGACATATGAACCACAATCTCTCAAAGATGATTTGCAATCCATCACTTCCATCATCATCTATAACCTCATGAAACATTTATTGAACATCTAGGTGTACTAGATACTGAGAATGCAAAAAAGTCTTGGGCAAAATATAAAAAATATGTATGCTAAATGACAGCTATTTAATATAATCTAAATGTATATGTTACATAGCACGTGTTATTTAAAGTTCATAATGGTTATAACAGCTAAGTGTAAAAATAGTTGAATAAATAAAATAATTAAGAAAAAATGAATAATCTCTAAGGCCTCCGTAGTGGAAAAAGAATAGGAGAGATTGAGGTAATACTCAAGTCAATGGGAAAAGAGGTAGAAAAAGGGGGCTGGAACAGAGAACTTATAGAGACATATTAAAATTGAAGAGATATATTGTGACCAGATTGTGAAAGAGTGTTGATGTCAGACTATATAATTTTTCATTCTTTCTTTTTCTCTAAATGAAAAGTAAAGAAATACAAGAAGAGGTGGGGGAAAGAAAGTAATAATTTGGGGATTGTTGGCATTAAATAGAGGCTGAGTTGACAATAATTTAAATGAAAACATTTAAAGGAACATCATTACCCATTATTCCCACTACTAATAATCCTCCTGCCTATGAACCTAGAGTAGTTCTTGTTCTGAATCCACAAGGATATTGTATCTTCCAACAAAGAGAGAGTTCCTTTGATTTAAAACTGATATTTGCAAAATTATTTTGTATTGTTTGCTAGATATTTTAACTTTCCTTAGTGCAAGTTCATCAAAGCAACCGAAACATTGGTACCAAAACAAAACAGAACAAAACAAATCATTACTAAGGTAGCATGTACTACATTTAAGCATGATCTAGCTTCCTCCTACATCCTTCCTTCTCCATGATCTGATCAGAAATCTGTGCCAAAGCTGCCTATGATATCAATACATTTATTCCCAAAATGTTGCTTCAGGACTAGAGCACAAGGTTTACTCATGCCTCACAACAACAGCAACAATAACAGTGGTAAAAATCACAAGGGGAATTGTAAAATATTTCAAACTGAATGACAACATTTTAGCATATCAAAATTTATGGAATGTAGTGAAAACAGTGCTTTGAAGAAAGTTTATATAAATGCTTACATTCCAAAGAATTGTCTAAAAACAATGCCTTATGGTACTTTACATATTTGAAAAGGAGTAAATCCAAACCAAATTAAGTAATAATAAAGGACATAACAAATATAACAGCAGAAATCAATGGTATGAAAACAAACCAACCAGAGAAAGTAAACAAAGCTATAATTTTATTCTTGGAAATATTAACAAATTGAATAATGCTTCTAGATTGCTCAAGGTAAAAAAAGCAAAAATCACCAATTTCAGGAATGAAAGAGGGATTATTGCTACAAATCCTATGACCAAAGGTTAAGAGACTTACAAAGAAACTTTATGCCAATCAATTCAAGAACTTGGGTGAATTAAGGCAAATTCCTTGAAAACTGACACAAGACAAAACAGAAAATTTGAATTGCTCTGCCTCTTAAAGAAATTGAATTTACTAAATTGAATAGCAAATTATTAATTTAAACAGAGATTTAATTATTAAATGTAAAAGAATGGTCACTTTTACATAGCGTGTTTTCTCCCTATGGGCCTTTACTATGGAGATGCTAATGTTAAATCAAGTATTATCTTCAAAAGCAAGGAACCAGTATAAAGGGAATTAATTGCATGATCTTAATAGCCAGAAAATTGTGCTTTGAGACCCTGATGCACCAGTTTCTACTCCAGATGAAATAGCTTCCGTTTTCTAAGCTCTACAGCTCACTCTTTCTTTGTACACGTTTTTTCCCCAGCCATGTTGATACCATTGATTAAATCATTCACAGTCCATCCAATTTTATAGATCTCTGACTTGTTCTTCCTGCTTCTCACCCAGAAGATAAAATGTCTTTTAAGGTGACCTCTACAGATTGCTAAATTCTTGGAACTGTCCTTAAGTAAAATAATTATTTTCTTAGTTAATATGATTCTCAATCATTCTGCTACGAACTAATTATACGTACTTTAATAAATTACTTAAGTTTAGCAGGGATCAGTGTCCTTAAGGGTTATTTCTCAAGGCCAGGAACACAGGAGATGCTCCTCTATATGTATTAGCTGGTCGACATGTAATGTGCTTTTCAAAATTCCTATTCTTCAAATCATTTTTATCTATTCTTGCCAAGTCTCTAGTTATAAGATTATTATTCTAGAGTTTAAATGCATTTTGAACTAACCCATTAAAACAATAATAATAGAGTATACAACAAAAAAATTATTATGAGAATTGCTCCTTGAATTGATGTTAATATGATAGTTCAATACTGTGAAAAATTCAGCTATTTCATATGAGACCATAAAATTGAAATGATGACTAATTACATCTGTATACATTTTCTTGTGTTCTTGAATCACATAATTAATTTGTCCACAACAAGCTTCTGTTGTGACACAATATTTTATCTTGACTGAGGCAAGGAATTCAATAAACATTTATTGGGGTTCTCTGTGTATGCTTAACCTGCTAATAGTAAGAAGATTTTGTTAATAGCTATATCACCTCTCTCTTCAAGAATAAGGAAGGAGTTGTCTTTCTGTTATTATTAAGAACTGTGATGTGATTAGGGATTAAATGCCAAGCACATATGGCTACAAATATGTGTCAATTATGTGCTTGTTTAAACTTAGCCAGTTACCTTCCCCATTTCAGAGTAATGTGAATTACATGCATTGTTTTTATTCCTAATGTATTTCTTTTTTATGTTTTGAACTCTGTGTCTAAACATCCTAGTATGAAAGAAACACATATATATGTTCTGATTCCTGAGCCATTTGGTTGGAGATTTACCACTATGACCTTCATTATTTATTATTATTATTTTTAAGCTGAGCCATCCTGCCACCTGTTGGCAGCTCAGTGGCAGCTCATCTTGGGCCGGGCATCAAACTGCTGTTGCTCAGAGATCACACACTTGAGCGAGCTCTCACTATGACCTTCATGAAGTCAATAATTGGTGTCTCTTAATTTAAGTAAAAAGAGTTTCAAGAAATGTTGGTTATTTCAAAGTAGTCTCCCCACACCTTCCTTCCCATACCCCATAAAATGGAGGACATATCCATTTGATCCAATGTAAGTATAAAGAATATTTAAATTATTTCTTTGGTTCAGCTCTTCCTGACAAAATGTAAAACAAACAGGACACTTTCTTTCTAAAATCAGAGACTCTTTACAATTGTTGCTATCCTAGAAATAATACTGTATAAAACCAAAATCTGTAATAAATACATATGAATTATATTTTAATGCTATCCGGGGTTTCTCTAGCCCAACGTGTCTCAGAAGTCAGAGCTGAAGTTTCTTTGATGGTAGTATGGGAATAATGATTGAGGACAGCCCAACTTCTTTGTAAATGGGATAAAGCTGCATACAGGTAGCATTTTCCCACTGGGGAAAAATATGATTTATATAGTGGATACATTGTTATAGTTAACTAGAAAATCCTTCTTTTATAAAGGAAGTTAAAAGAGGCAAAAAAAGTAATAATTCCACTAAACAATTGTATAGTCTCTTCCGGTAGTACATGCTTCCTTCTAGCAGGAATATCTACCTCAGAGTTTTGACAAGGATTCTATACAAAGGACATGCCCTCTGTGAGCTGAAAAGTAGATTCTTTTAAATTAATTAATAGTTAATACAATTAACTGAAGTAAATCAGCCTGGCACTCAAGATGAGATTGTAAAAAGCAGCTAATGCACAACTATGATCATTCAGAGCGTCATAAAATGTAGGTGGAAAAAAGTCAGATTGTTATATTTAGACACAAGCTGAAGTTTCTGCAGATAAGACAGAACCCATAAAAAGGGAGAGACTGATATTGGATGAATGACAAGTTGAATGGCTATGAGAGAGCAAGGTCCAGAGCCCTTTAAAAGCAGGTTGGATTTGATGGGTCAAGAGACTCCATCTCTCATGGAGCAGGAAGGCAGACAGAAAGTGGTTGTGCAGGTGAAGGTGGCTGGGAGACTGAAGGCACTCCTAGCTGCTGGGACATGTGTGGCAAAGTAAAGTCATCAACTAAAAGTCAAGTATGAGGGCATATGTTAGGGTTTGGGATGAGGGAGAGAGAATGGGTGGAATGTTTGTAGATTGAGAAAATGGCATGAAACTGTCATTGTGCAAGAGGGGTGGACCCAGTCATTCTGGATTTTAGTGCTTATGCAATGTTTGGGAACCTGTCTATAAAAGTAGATACAAAATAGTTAATTCAAAATTAGGAATACGAGTCAATATTAGTTAAAATGAGAAAAAAAAATCACAACACAATTATAAATTTAAACCTCATCAAGGCATAATAAACTCTAAAAAAAAGTAATATTGTTAATTAATTACCCAACACACCTGTTTTCATATACTTTTACTGCACACTTTTGTGTAGCTGCTTTATATGACAACAATGTAGTATTTTTTGTAGAGGGGACAGAACGGTAATCTGGTCTTCCCTTGAGCCTGGATGATTGACATTTGTTGACTATCATGGTAGTTTAAAAGTGTTACTTGTAGCTTCACAACTCCTAATTGGAAATACATAAATGTTTGGAATTGTTAGAAAATGTGACAAATTTCCTGGAAAGTTTTTCTCATGTATGAACTATAATATTTGAATAAATTTGCACATAATAACTTTTATGACAATGTTGCTTGAAGCCCCACTTCTCCTCCACTTCTTACTTTCTTTTCATGCCTCAGGATACATTCGTATCACAGTGTAAACTAGTGTCTGGCTCCTGCATGTCACAGCATGGTGAGTTGACATGAGTGGCTAGTAAGAACTGGATATAGAAGTGATTGTGAACCATAAAAACTAAACTTTATTAAACCTACATCAAATGTATGTCCACCTCAATGTCCCCTTAGCTAGATCCTAAAAAT